TGCCCCTTTAATCAGTTAACCAGTTAAACAATATGTTTAACCTGTTAACCAATTACACGGGATTTTACTTCCCAGGCTCCATCTTTCACCCCATGTCACTATGGAGCACATGGCTGGCTTATTCTGTGCCCCGCAGCACTCCGGCCCTTCTCCCGTCTCCCCTCCCCACCACCACCCGGTGTCAGGTGGCTCTTTAAGAAAAGGACTTATGCTGATCTTATAAGCGATCCGGGCTCTGGTGTCATGCAGAGCTGCACCAAACCAAGCCCTTCCTTTGGAGAGCGACTTTGAAGCAGCCTCCTGCTGTCCTACTCCCAGGCTCCAGCTAATTAAGGAGCCCAGCTCCCCGGAATACATTTCCATTGATTTACATTCCACTATTTGATCTTTCCTGAAGACGACCTGCTTTGATCTGAGCCAGTCAGCTGGCTCCATCTCCGCTGCGCCTTCCACTGAACAGACACCAACAGCCAGAGCTGCGTTTTCTAGTCTTAAAACCCCCAACTAGGTTTCCCTGTTTATTAAGTACGCCAGAGAGAAAGAGAGACGCCTTTCTTGTCGCTGCAGTGATTGTCATTCTGAGGAGACTGAACTCAGAAGTTATGAGCACCCGTAACGATGCTCCCCAGCACCTTTCACCAGATGTTAACCCCAGGTCCTGGCCAAGTTCCAGATCCAACAATTACATCCACTGACTAAATTTCTGTCATTTCAGTTAGGCAGGCTACCTTCGCCTCCTCATCTGAGTTACTCTGCAAGTTCCACCCCAGAAGCAGCTGCATTTCAGCCATCGGTGATGGGATCTTTATGGCAAGGGCTCTTTTTGTAAAGCATTTTGAGACATTTGCCCACATAGACTGAAATCTATCCGCCTAATTAACGGCCATTACCATTACGCCCCCATACCACTTAACCCCACTACCGTGAGTTACCCCACAGACGGTGACGACACCAGTGTTAATCTAGGTCCCACTAACACGTCCCTAAAAGCCATTGCTGCTTTGCTGGTCCAGTCTCAATCAGATCTCCTGGGCTGCTGATCACCCCATTAGACCTTCCTCTGCTGATTAGTCCCACATCTACCTTCTAAAATGCCCCCGGCAAGAGGGCTGTGTGGGGTTACTTTCACAAAGGCATCAAGATATCCAGACCCCTGTGCATCACCCTGGATCACGTGTCAGGCAAAGAAAGGGTTAAAAGGAAAGTGGATCCAGAATTATCCCCTGCCTTCCCTTTAGCCATGTATGAACCTTGCTGGGACGGAGTGCGCCCGTTAACTAGGTCTGTGCCTGGGAAGCCGCTTGCCTGTACCAAAAGCAAGCTCCGGGGGGCAGCTGGCGCAGGCAGAGACTGTAACTTTAATTGCCTGGCACAAGACACCAGGTTAGCGCTGATGTTGCGTCACTCCACTGAAAACGGTGCCGCAGAAAAAAAAAAGAAAAGGATTCTCTAGCAGCGCACAATACTAGTTATTGGACTAATGCAAGAGAATGGAGCAGAGGCAGCAAGGGGGCCTGGCTTAAAAGTTGGCTCCCCCCAGCACTGTCTCCACAGTACCACTAGCCCCTCCCCACACTGCTGCTTCTATCAGAGGTAGCAGTGGGGAGGGGGCAGGGAGGCTTCTCCGGCAACAGCCCCTGTCCACAGAGGGTCCCAGCTCTCAACCCCCACTGCTGGACCGTGCACGAGCCAGGACTGAGCAAGTCTGGCTCAGTCCCGACTCACACCGGGTCCAGGACTGACCCCCGCTGCGGCCCTGCAGTTTAAATGTAGGAGAAGCCGGGCTGCCCAGCTCTTGCTATGTTTAAACTGCAGAGCCGCAGCGGGGGTAGCGCCGTCCCTTACCGACTCATCGTGTGGCCAGTACAAATTGTATCGACTACACGATTACCCACCTACCCGCCTCTGGAGAGCCTCCTTTCACTCCAGTGGCAGGGGGGCTGGGCTTTCAGGGCTGGAGGATCGGATTTCGATCCCCGTTCTTGCTGGGAAGTTCTGCAAACCTAGAGCGGGGATTTCACCTGCTGCTAAAGCAGAGGTGAAATCCCAGGGCTGCTCCCTGGAAGTCCCAGCTCCTGTCCTGCTGGGGAGCATCACAGGGGCTGAGCCCCCAGGACTGCAGGGAGAATGTGCATTGCCCCTGCAGTCCCTTCCCCAAGGGCAGCACTACAGTCTGAAGGGGAAACAGGGGAGCTTCCCCTTTAGAGCAGGGGAGAGGGGCTCAGACATCCCAGCATGGGACAGACCTGCTGGGGAGATCCATCAGCCGGGTAATGGAGACAGGCAACTAGTGGTCTCCCCCAGGGGTCTGTAGTGGGACCAGTCCCATTCAGCGTATTCCTAAATGGTCTGGAGGAAGGGCTTAAAACAGGCAGGTGGCAAAATTTGCAGAGGATACCAAAGTTACTCAGGACAGTTAAGTCCCAGGCTGACTGCAAAGAGCTACAACAGGATCTCTCATAATTGGGCGATTCGACAGCAAAATGGCAGATGAAATGTAATGTTGATAAATGCAAAGCAGCGCACATCGGAAAGCATAACCCCAACTATCCGTGAAGAATGATGGGGTTTAAATTAGCTGTTACCACTCAAGCAAGAGATCTTGGATAATTCTATAAAAACCATCCACTCAATGTGCAATGGCAGTCAAAAAAGGCAAACTGACTAATGGGAATCATTAAGAACTAGCCAATAGCCCATCATAAAACGGGATTTTTAGGTCTCTCTCTCTCTCTTCCTGCCTCTTCTCCCCCACCCCCACAGTTCTCCTCCACCTCCTGCCTCTCTCTCAGTCTCTCTTTCTCTTCTCCTCTCACTTCTGCCGCTGACTCGGGGGACCGTGGAGCCCAAACAGCTGCTTGCTCCCCCGCGGCGGCCTGGCTGAGCGGCGCAGAATCAGTTGAGCGCCACGGCGGGAGGCAACGGCACCCCCCAGAGGCAACACATAACTCTACAGAGTCACAGACATTGGGCTACTATATATATGATGGGATAGATAATAAGATATAAAGTATCCTATTGCCTCTATTTAAAGCCATGGCACGCCCACATCTTGAATATTGCATGCAGATGTGGTCGCCTCATCTCAAAAAAGAAATATTGACATGGGGAAAGGTTCAGAAAAGGGGAACAAAAATGATTAGGGGTTTGGAATGGCTGCCACGTGCAGAGAGGAAAAAGAGGAAACTAAGGGGGGTGGGATATGACAGAGGTCTAAAAAATCACGAGTGGTGTAGAGAAGGGAGATAACGAAGCGCTATTTACTCCTTCTCTTAACACAAGGACGAGGGGGTGAAATGAGCAGGCAGCAGGTTTAAAACAAATAAAAAGAAATATTTCTTCACACAACCCAGTGGAACTCCGCGCCAGAGGACGTTGTGAAGGCCAAGACTGCAACAGGGTTTCAAAAAGAACTAGATACATTCATGGAGGATAGGTCCACCAATAGCTATTAGGCAGGATGGGCAGGGAGGGTGTCCCGAGCCTTTGCCAGGAGCTGTTTCTGTTTCCCTGTTCTGTTCATTCACCGTGGGGCCCCTGGCATTGGCCACTGTCTGAAGCCAGGACGTGGCTAGATGGACCTTTGGTCTGACTCAGTGTGATTGTTCCTATATAGTAAAGGACCGGCCTGTCGGCCCTGAGACGGGAGGTGGCTTATCTCACAGCCAGGGCCAAGGCAGGGCAGTGGCAAAGCGTAGTCCACAAGCAGCGGCCAGAGGTTGTGTGATTAAACACCCCTTGCTCAGTAGGGACTGGGCTGAGAGAACCCACCGACTCAGTTCATCCAGGGGCTGCAGACCCGCGATTAGGAGCCAGTCACAGCTGGCAGGCACCAGCAGCCTGAGCTGGATGGGAAGCGGCGAGCGAGAGGTAAAAGGCTCCATATCCCGTTACCAGCCTGCGCTGTGAAGGTTCAAGTTCCCTTGACAGGTTCCCAGACATGTAGAACCGAGCGCTTTTGTTCCCAGGTGAAGCCAGGCCTGGTGCCAGCTCTCAGCCTGGGACCTGGCTTTGTTCTCCTAGGGCTATACCAGCTGCATTGTTTCTCCTCCCAAGCGGGGCTGGCCTTACCATGAGGCCAACTGAGGCGGCCGCCTCAGGTGCTAGACTGTGTGGGGGGAGAGGGGACGGGGGCGCCACTAGGACCCAGAACGTAGAAAATTTCGTCTGCTGCTGGTGCATTTTAAGTTGTTAGTTCTCCTTTATTGGGGTAGGTAGCAGAGCCGTACCACGAGTAGGGTTGCCAGATGGTTGAAACAAAAATACCAAACACCCTCCCTCCCCCAAAAAACTACCAAGAAAAAATTCTGTGGAAGGAAAAAAAAGTGGGAGGGGGGGCGAGGGGGGAAAAAAAGTTGTTGAATGAAAAAAAAAAAAAAAAAAAAAAAAAAAAATTCAGTTGTTAAGCAAAAAATTTAAAAATTAAAAAAAAATTTAAAAGCGTGGCCCCTTTAAGAAATGCTTTTGAGGTTTTTTGGCCCTAACAGGTTACCAGCAGCCGTCCACTATCTTGTCTCCCTTCTCCGGGCCAGACAGCTCACCTGCGGAACCCGGTAAGCACCCAGGATTTTCGCCTCCTAGCCGGGGAAAAAAAAAAAAATCAGAAAATACCAGACATTTCAGGTGCCCAGTATTTTCTGAATTTTTTTTACTGGACAGGAGGCAAAAATACCAGACTGTTTGGGTCAATACCGGACACCTGGCAACCCTACGTACCGAATACCTCTACAGTCAAGTGGCGCTTCCATTTTACTCTGAATCATTGAACAAAGTAAGCTTCAACCTGTGCCATTCCTAGGGTTCCTTAAAGACTCATACTCTAGTGCCTTCTCTCACCAAAGCAGCCCTCCTACTTTCTTGATACTCAGCATGGAGTTACAAAGTTATGCCTACTCCAGTAAGTTGGCGAGAATTAATCAGCATTGCTTCATAGGATTTCAAAACCAGAAAAACTTTTAACCAGAAACGGAAGCAGAGCTGGTGGGGCCTTGCCAGGATACCTGCAGAATCCAGGTGGCCACGGTGTCTAGGAAGCTCTCAGCTTCGCTGGAGCTGATGAAGGCTGGTAGGAAGGATTTTGTAGAGGTGGCCCAGGGTCTGTCCAACTGGACTGACACCTGCTTGTGGGGAGACTTCAGGTTGGGGCTCTGGATGCGTTCCGATCTGGCCAAAGTGTGGGAGACATTCCCCGCCCCCTCCTCCGATTTCTTGGAGTTCATACGGAGCTGGCAGAGATGCAGGGCCATGGCTCACCACAGTAGATGCAGAGATGGTGCTGGTGTGGTCGTGCCTTTTCCATGGGGGTGAGCTGGCAACAGCCCATCACCACCTGCACTGGCTCAGTGAGAGGTAAGATGAAAAGGTCCCAGTTCCTGGATGGGAAGGATGGAAGATCACGGCTTTTAACTTCTTCCCTCCCCACGACCGGCTGTCTATACAAACCCTACCGCTCACAATCTTCCACCTTCCTGGAGACCTTCTCCTTCCCTCCCCTTCTGGAGGGATTCTTGGTTTTCTTTGCCTCCCAGGCTCCTGCTGTGTACACACCTCGGACTCTTCTGCCACCAGTCTGCCTTCTCTCCGGGAGGAGTTGGTTGGTCTCTGAGCCAGAGGATGTTCCAAGTTGTCTTTCTGAAATCGTAGCCCCTACCTGTTGCTGGAGAATCCATGACGCTAGGTCTCACTTGAAGCCTGACATCAGTGACTGTGCATTTTGAAACCTGGTCCACAGGGCTCTTAGGAACTGGGAATTGAACTCACATCTCCCATATTCTAAGCCAGTGCACGGCCTATACTGGGATTGGTGTGCGGGCCCTACAGAATTAAAAGCATCTGTTGGCATGGTGTCTTCCTTGCTGGGTGCACTTATAGCCAGGAAAGGGGCCACCAGGATGCCCCATTAAACTGCCGTGCTCAGCATGGCCAATTCTCACACTTGTCTCTGGAGTTGCATGCTATTTTGTGGCTTTGCTACAGCCCCACGTGCCAAAGCCAGGGGTGCAGGCGAGAACCTCGCACTACTGTCCCATGAAGGCTAAATTTCTGACTCACGTGGCTGCAGAGAAAAAGCTGAGAAACTTTTGGCTTGGTGTCAAGTCTCCCGATTTTAAGCCAACCTCACGATTTTGGGGGGCCCAGCTGACAAATCCAGAGTGCAAAGGGTGGGCCGCACCAGATATTGCATCTTTCACAGCACCCCAAAGGCCAACACTCCCTTTCCAAACTAAAATAATTTTTCTAACCACAAGCACGAACCAGCCCGTTCCTCGTGAACACCAGCAGCAGAAACCTTTCCAGCACAGCTTTGCGGGTGCTGCATGATGTGCGACAGACACCAGTGCGACATCCCCAAAGCCCTGCAGAGAGCCAGCACAGCGAATAGGAGTGACAAGTCAGCAGACGGAAGCACAAGACCTCCAGGGAGCAGAATACGCTGAGCCATTTTTAGAGTCACTTATTGGACCAGAAATGCAATTTACGGGCCATTATGCGGCTTTAAAAATATCAGACGGCATCTTTGCTACCGGGGCTGTTTGTGCTACTCCAGCCAGCCAGCAGAGGGTGATACCGCTACAGGTAAGAATCTCTCAGACCAGCTGAACAAAGCTTTGCCCACAGGCTAGCCCACAACACCCCATCTGCCAATTGCCAGGCCCCGGTGATGGAATATCCGGCTTCTCTAGTCAGGGTCTGAGGCTCCCAGATTGTGCTGGGAATCCGCTTTCAGAGGTGTAATCAGGATCTGATTTCTCTTTGTGGGTCTCCTCTCAGGCCATCCTGGGCAAATGGAAAATGGGCCCAGGCAGACGTTTTAGATGGATCAGTTAGGAGGCAGGACCATGG